TTTTTTTTTTTTTTTTTTTTTTTAAATGTTAGTTATAAAGACTGCCTGGGTTTTATCTCTCTGATCTTGCTGTTAAAATAGGCCTGTTGTGCATCCTGGGGTGGGGTGGCTGAAGAGCCATGCCTGGCCCTGTTCCTCTGATGAGGCTTGTGTTAACGCCGGTCAGCGCATGAGACCTACCCACCCGCAAACCCTGCTTGGAAGCTCTGATCCAGGACCTGGGCGGTGCAGGGAGTGTCTTCTTGAGCTGCGTCTCCCAGGGGCTGGGTCTGAATCCAGCCCCTAGGGACCAGGCGCATTTGCAGGGGGGCCTAAATGCAGTCTCCCTTTATTCCTGACACTATTCTCACAGTGGGGAGGTCTCATCTCAAGGCCTGAGGTTGTGAGAACAGTTGTTGTTTCAGGAGTGCAAGGGCTAAGCATATGGGGTTCATGCTTAGCAGCTGCCTGGCACAAGCCATTGCTCCTGGTCTCCCTTACACATGCACCTTGACTGGCTGATTTTTAAAGGAAAATTATTCTTGGTTTAAAAAAAAACCTAATTAATATTTGGCATTAAAAATTTAATTTTAATCTAACTCTTGCCCCGATCTTTCAGGACCTTTGTTCAGGATTCCTTTACCCCAGAGCTGCAGGTAAAATAACCTTGATACCCAGCTGAGGGGACACTGCCAGGTACCATTCTGTCTGGGGAATAAAAAAAGACTTCTCTCCATGCCTGTTCCAAAGGAGAGTCGGGAAGCTTTCCGTTCTGGATCTTGTGAAATCTTATGGATCTAACAGTCTGGACTGCAAGTTCTAAACATAAATCCCAAAATCTCACGTTTCTCTGAATAAACTCGGGAAGCCCTGGGACTGTCATTCTTGAAGAATAAGTTTGTTTTACATGCAAAGTACCTGGCAGTGACTGTCTTTTAAGATCACTTGTCGAAAAGGGAATGCTGAAATCTGGTCTTGACAGGCAAAAAGATTTAACTCACTTTTATGTGTAACTATTTATAAAAATAGCGTTGCATTTGTTGGGGGGAGGGGTGGGTGATGAGCCTTTTGCATG